GAGGCCCTACCAAAATCATTTTGATGTATTTAGTGCTATATAAAATTTTATCTTGGCTCTAGGATAGTAGTTACCAATCCCTTTCCATTCTGGTCCCATTGTTCCTATCAACCCAGGATCAAGCCATTTAGCAGGATAAAAAGAACATGGTCTGACCACAGATGAAAACCCTTATTCTAAAAAATGTTAAATCATATGTAATATTTCAAACTGAGCCCCTGGTCCTACAAATGACATTGTATGGAGCACTATATTGGGCTTCATGATTTGGCCTGATTTATCTTTTTGCTGTTTCACTTTGGAGAACCCAATTATTTTTAATAATAATCTTAAAGTAATTTCTCTATGAGATAACTATGAGATTTCTGCCTGTGATGAGAAAGTATAAACTATATGGCTTTAAGCCACATTGATACCCGTTGTTTCGGATTGTGATGTAGACATGAACTGCACAAGTTACAGTAACCTAAGTGGGAGACCAAGGGGCTCTGCTTTAATTTCTATTTGGCCAGCTTTTGTGAATTTTTTTCCTCAGGGGACATGATAGTTGGTGTTTTTCTTAAAGTCTGAGCTCTGGGAATAATGTGGCTACATTAACATCACAGATTTTTTTTAGGCAGAGGAGGTTAAACATGAATTTTTATTACAAATATCTAGAAAGTACCATAGTCGGTATATAAATGAAAAATACAAGCAACGTGCTTTTTAAACAGATAGCAAAAAAAACCCCAAACCAACCCCCCCCCCCCCAAAAGACCCTCCAAAAAGTGAAAATGGAGAAGAATTTGGCTCTTCAGTCCTAGATAAATCATAATCTTGCAATTCTCAGAGGCTACCTGTATCCCTGAGAAGAGGCCATATCCAGACAAGGACTTGGAACGAGAGAGACACGTATTTTAGGAGGACCCAACGTTAACTGAGAGAACAATTAGGATTTGTCAATCAAAGAAAATCTCCAAGTCCAAACTGAAGCACAAAAAGGGTGGACAGAACTTAGACACCAAGGACAGAGAATCCAAAATACTAAAAGAAAAGGGGTGAAAAAGAACACACATGAAGCTGAGAGTGCATAAAACCAGCACATGGAGCTGTTTGTGCTATCATAAACAATAGTCATCATTGGCAGTCACTTGATATGGAGAGGGCAGCCTTCCAGTAAATAGGGGAGTCATTGCTGAGTCCAGAGATGACTGAGGCCAATCCAAGATCTTCATGTTCAACTGAAGGCATGGCAGATAGTTCCAGAAGAAAGTAGTGGACCTTGGTAATACTGGGTCACAGCTCTTTCC